AAAATAAAGAAATTAAACATGGGACTTAAATGAAATGCAAAATTTCCATTCGAGTTATTTTTTATGTCAAACGTAAGGTTTGGTTCTATGCTTTTATATATGTTTATTTTTCCATAGAACAGATATTTTTTTTTTTTTTTTTAGGGTACATTAATATATATCGGAGAAGAAAGTTGTTTGATAACATAAAATTTAAGTTAGTAATATAAATTCGGTAAAATTTTTATTGGTATGATAGATATGGTCTGCAATGGAGCCTATAATTAAATTGTTTTTGTTTTTCTTTTAAATCTAAAAATTTTGAAGCGAAATATAATTTAACTATTATTATAATATATAAAACTCTAAATATTTGGCAATAAATTTGATGCACTTTAATTAATGCGGCTAAAAGCCCGCAGGTGCTATAATTAATTAGTTGTCAATTAATAATAAAAACGTTTGATTTGGCAAAACGTTTGACTCGATCATAATATAGACAAGTAAAAATTGGACAAAACGGTTGATTTAATCAAAAGGGGGCCTCGGAGGAGAAGTTAGACCGGCAGTAGTTTGTTTGTCCTTTATTTTTATTTTTATTATATATATATATAATTATAAGTTGTATAAAATAAAATAATTTCTTTTAAATCTCTCCCTTATTAATTTTCAAATATGAAATATTTAATTTAAAATTTCAAACTTGCACCTTTTTTTGTTAAAAATAAAAAATTTTGAATTCGAGTCACATAACATATAGATATGATCAAATAAGGGATGAGAGATAATTGTATTTTATTTTGCAATTAAGACAAAAAAAATTTTCAAACTCGCACCTAGTAGTTTGTTAAGCTTGAACATCTCACCTGTTTAATTAAGAAATTAATCTTGAAAACAATTAATAGAAGTTTAATTTTTTTTTCTTTTTTTTCTTTTTTTTTTCTTTTTTAAAGTGTATTGCAAGCACAGCACTTTTTTTACTGTATATTATTTAAAAACGTAAATTTAATTATTAGATGAGATATGATAGTACTTTTCTTTTAATGTAAAACCACTTTGTTGAGATATGGTTAAAACAAAAGGTGTGGAAGGGAAAGTGAAAAAGGGAAATAAGAAATTAGAAGTTGCTTTTTGGTGGTTAATTACATTATCACAAGAGCAGGATATATAGTTGGATACTTATACATATATTTTCACTTTAACATATTTTCTAATATATTTATTGAAAAATTATGATTTTTAATTTAAAATTAAAGTCAACAAAATTTAAAATTATACATTTTAATAACTAAATAGATGAGTGTTTGTGAAATAAGTATATTAATAATTTTTCTAATCATAATATTCCTTTTTTGAACATCTAATCATAATATTCCTAGTAATGGAGATACATGTGGATGTAGTAAAAAAATGTGAAATTGTTTTACGACGATAGTATGTATGAATGTACGTAACAGAAAAGAGCATCTCACTATAATTTATTTACACAAATTATAAAAAATAATTAACGAAATTAAATGGCACCCCCGGCAATTTTAAGTCATCAATGGCAAATTAGGGGGAAAAAAAAAAAAAAAAAAAAACCTATTTTTGTGGCATACAATAATCATCCTTTGAGGACAGAAAATGTGACAAATGAAAGCGTACGTCTGTAACGTATGTGGCGTGCGATTGGATGCTCGAAATTCTCATATATATAAAAGTAAGGTATTAACATAAAAAAAACTATCTAGGTTGAGAGGATGAAATTCAATTTCTCTTAAATTAAATTTTGAGTTCGAATCTTATAAATAAAAAAAATAAGTGCTAAAAAAACTTTCTTTTTTATAAGGTTTGATATGATTTGATTTCGAATTAGTTAAATTTTAATGTAATTATTTGATACTAAGAAGTTAATACTAAAAAATTAACATAAAAATAAAAAAGAGTAAAGTATATGCAAACAATAAAATTAAAAAGAATAATAACCACACATGAATTTAATAAAACTATAATTTATATTATATATATCTCACATATTTAATAATTATAATTAAACAAAATATCGAAAACATTATGAGTTTCTCTTCTCTCATCTAAATAATCTAAGAGAGATATTAAATTCTAACTGTAGGTATATAAGTAAAGTGAATAAATAAACAAATGAAAAAGGGTATCATTTCTCATTATATAATCTAAAAAAAAAAAGGGAAGAAAGCGAAGGGCATATATAATTAAATCTTCATGGGGAGTGATAATGATGGATGAAGTTGCTACAGGAAATGAAACATTCATAATCTCTCCTCAATAAAAGTAATATGTGTTACTAACTAACTATTAATCTAAGTAAAAAGTGCTCAATTTCTCTTAAATAAAATCTTGAGGTTGAATCTTATGAAAAGAGAAATATACACTAGCAGAGTTTCCTCTTTTATAGGGTCAAATGTAACTTAGTTCCAGATTAATCATGGTTTAATATGGTTTCCAAATACTAAGAGACTAGTACAAAAGAAAAAAAGATGTGTTTTAGTCTCATACATGAGTGAAGTAAGTAAATAGATGAAAAAAATAATAAGTACCTAGAAAAAAAAATGAAAGATGGTCATATAAAATTTTTTTGATAAAAAAAGGTTAATATATAAAATTTCTAAGACCTAACTCTCAGTTGATCCCCAATATATAGAGATGAGATTGAGCAAATTTTTATTCTTCCTTTTTTTAATGACAAGATAGTCAATTATTCGAAGTTTAGATGATACTCAAGGAGTTGTGATTTAGTTTACAAAAAGATCTTCTTTTTTTATATTATTGATTAAAATTTGATTTTTTAAGGAGACCAATGAGAAGATAATTTTACACAAATTCTTTAATTCTGACATGAATGATCTATTTTTGATTGAATTGGAGAGAAATTAATTTCAAAATATACACAAACTAACCTAGGAACACCTTGATTACAAAAAAAAAAAAAAAAAACCTTAGCCGGTTCTCAGGTTATCCCTACCATGTGTTTCTCACTGGCTTACATTTAGATAATCAAAGGAAAAGTTAAGAGGGAATGATTGATCAATTAAATATTATTAAGGATATCATTTTCATCCTTGGTCGTAAGATGGACCCTTGACAGCATCGCTGGTTGTTCTGGTTTAGGGCAGTATACAAAACTAAGCAGATTATTAGTCACTAAAATCCAACAAAACCGGTACAATTTGCGCCTCCAAGGGACCTCTATTGATGTGCTAGTGATAAAAGTGTTGTTTGTCATTTGCCAATACATATACGTTATTATTAAAAATAATATTACTCCCTATGATGTTTATCATGTCACTGATATTTGATTTTGACAGTTTAAAAAAAATATCTGCCTCATATTTATTCCAAAATTTCAAACCACATGCTAATGTTACAGTTTTTAGTAATTAACTACTATCATTAAGCACTACAAATTAATTATAAGAGGACATCAACTGCATATGTAGAGAGTACTACTTAATTGTGTTTAGCTGATAAAAAAACTAATTATCCGTGTTTAATATAGGAAAATTTACCTAAACACAACCAAGGTAGCCTTTGTTTACCAAAATGGAGTTGCCCGGACTCGAACCGAAGACTGTTAGTATGTTAGACTGAGGCTATAATCATAGTAGGAACAAGATTAATTATGAATAATTGAAGAAGATGTTAACAAGTCGTCAAATATATATCTTAACAGTTAATTTTATATAAATTAATGACAGTAATATAATAATATCACGTAAAATTATAAATTTATAATTATATTATATTATTAAATAAATAAATACATATAATATCATATATAAATAAAAAATAAAAATAATTAATAACATAATATAGTAATAACTTGTGATTATAAACTTAAAATGCAACGTGATAATGTCATTTTATTATTTTTAATAAATTAAATTAAATTACTTAGTCAAAGAAACTTACGTTTGGAATTAAAATTTATTAATGGGTTAGGGTAGGGGCGTGCATTGACGTAAAACATGATCGAGTGTTGGATTATGGTGTGAGGCTGACTACCCGATTGTGTCAAAGAATTTTATGGTGCATGACGATCACCTACATATATACCTGAATTCACAAGGCAAAACTGCATACTTAAGTTAATTTGGTTGGAGGGAAACGGAGACCGAAGGGAGACATGAATTTTTTTAATTGATTAAATTACTGTAATATTGAAAATTAATGATGCATTTTGATTGGTCAAAATATTAATCTCTGTCCCGTTTTTTTGGAACATATAATCCTTCTCCTTTTTCTCAATTCACACGTATCCCTAAACAACAATGAGAAACATTTTGGAGCATAACCCAACACTTCTAACACTTCTAATTAACAAAAAGCCTAATTAAATAAATGTCTATACTTTTTGGTACCAAACTTTTTATATTTAAAAGTTATATTATATTTGATTAATTTAAAGTTGAATTGAGTTAGATCTTATAAAGAGAGAAATTCTTCTAATGTTTATTTCTTCATTTATAAATTTCGAACTCAATACTTTACTTAAAAATAATCAAAAGTTATTTTCAATCAAATGAACATGTTATTAATAATAAATGTTTATATACTTACAAATAAACAAAAACAATCTTGCCTTTATCTCAAGGGTTAGTATTTTACTACTTTCTACAAAGATAATGTAATATAACGAAAAATTAAAATTGATTTAGGGGTAATCTTTATATATTATTTTTTAATATAATTTTATGTATTATTTAAATAATTAATTTTTTTATTTATTTGAAATTCATAATATTGAGTACATGCATCTATTCATATAAAAATTATATAAAAAAGTAATATAAAAAAATATTTTTATATAATCATCCATATAAAATATTTATAAAATCACTCATTTAATATGACATTATTACGTATGATATTACGTAGTAAATAAAACCGGATGCGTAGCATTTTCGTTTTATTAATTGAACCATACATTAAAGCAGTGCGGCCAATTCAAACTTCCACTTCCCCAACTCTATTTATACAGCATTTCCTCTCTATTTTCACATCAAAACTCCCTCCTTCATCTCTTCATATGCTCTCTGAAAGAAACAAAACCAAAAGCTCTTTCTCTTCTTCTGAATACAAATTTCCATGGCTTCGACTTCTAATTGTACTTCTAAAGCCCGAATCTCTTATCCTCTTTCTTCTTCCTCCTCCATTAAAGATTTGAGTTATTCTTCGAAAGCAATCTCGTTTCGAAACCGGCCCAAAAATAGTGCTAGTAGAACAAGCAGTAAAATACACTGTGCTCTGAATTTGCCATCCGTTCTCCAGTTCCCCAATCCAGTGATCCCCAAGGAGGAAACCTCCTTGAAATCCGCTCCACAGAAGTGGAACCTCCTCCAGAAGGCGGCAGCTTCGGTGCTTGATGTAGCGGAAAGTGCGTTGGTTTCTATTGAACGTCAGCACCGGCTTCCAAAAACAGCTGATCCACGAGTACAACTTTCCGGAAATTTTGCCCCAGTCCCGGAACAACCGGTCTGCCACGCACTTCCTGTTACCGGTACTATCCCTGCATGCGTCAGCGGTGTTTATCTACGCAACGGCGCTAACCCGTTGTTCAAGCCTGTGTTGGGTCACCATTTGTTCGACGGAGATGGCATGGTCCATGCGGTTACTCTTGACAACGGGGGGTCTGCGAGCTACGCCTGCCGTTTCACCGAAACGCAGAGACTGGTGCAAGAGAGAGAATTGGGTCGGCCTATTTTCCCGAAGGCAATTGGTGAGCTCCATGGATACTCTGGAATTGCTAGGCTCATGTTGCTCTACAGCCGGGGACTGTGCGGTCTTCTCGACCACAAACTGGGCATAGGAGTTGCTAACGCAGGGTTGGTTTATTTCAACAACCACCTCCTCGCCATGTCGGAGGATGATCTTCCTTATCACGTTCGAATAACTGATTCCGGCGATCTCGAGACTGTTGGTAGATACGATTTTGACGATCAGCTTAAATCCACGATGATTGCACATCCGAAAGTTGATCCAGAATCCAAAGAACTCTTTGCTCTGAGCTACAACGTCCTGCAAAAGCCGTATTTGAAGTATTTCCGGGTTTCCTCCGATGGAAAGAAGTCACAGGACGTGGAGATTCCTCTTCCGGTACCCACCATGATGCACGATTTCGCAATCACCAAGAATTTCGTGGTGATCCCTGACCAGCAGGTAGTCTTCGAGTTCCAAAATATGATTACCGGAGGCTCACCTGTAATTTATGACAGTGAGAAGATTTCCCGGTTCGGGATTCTCTCGAAAAATGCGTGTAACGCCGACGATGTAATCTGGGTTGAAACACCGGATACCTTCTGCTTTCACCTGTGGAATGCTTGGGAGGAGCCGGAATCCGAGGAGGTGGTGGTGATTGGGTCTCGCATGACACCAGCAGACTCCATTTTCAACGAATGTGATGAGAATTTAAAGAGTGTACTTTCCGAAATCCGGCTCAATTTAAAAACTGGAAAGTCCACCTGCCGCCCAATTCTCTCCGATTCCGAACAAGTGAACTTAGAAGCCGGGATGGTGAACCGGAACCTGCTGGGAAGAAAAACCCGGTATGCTTATCTTGCTATTGCGGAGCCCTGGCCCAAGGTTTCGGGCTTTGCGAAGGTAGACCTTTTTACAGGGGAGGTAACAAAGCATATTTACGGCAACAATAGGTACGGCGGAGAGCCGTTTTTCTTACCCAGAGACGCCAATTCCGAAAGCGAAGATGATGGATACATCCTGGTCTTCGTCCACGACGAGAAGACGTGGAAATCGGAGCTTCAGATAATAAACGCCATGACTTTGCAGGTCGAAGCTGCGGTTAAGTTACCGTCGAGGGTGCCGTACGGCTTCCATGGAACGTTTGTGGAAGCTAAGGACTTAATAAATCAGGAATAATTTGGTGGACCATCATGCATGTGCTCTGGGGTAGAATTGTAGTTTTGTGATTCAATTCCTCATTTTTAGGTAAAATAAATAATTTAGTCGTCGGCGGTCGGCGGTCGGCGGTCGGTGGTCGGTGGTCGGTGGTCGGCGGTGCAGTAAAGTAGTAAATTTTTGTGGGATTAAAGAATTTTACCAGCCACGGAGATGTTTACCAGAGGGATGGTTTTCGGCTATAGCAGACAGGTCTCCGGCTCTCCTGAGCAACTTTTTGTGTTTTACTGTTAGGTACAGTTCTTTTTTTAAAAAAAAAAATTTAAGGAGCTAGTAGTTGGTAATTTGTTGTTTTTTTGTTATTTAAGGACTGTTCAATTTCTACTTGTAAATTGCAGATATTTACTGTTATACTGCATAGAGTTGGTTGGTCCACTAGAGAAGTAATATATAATTCAAATATAAATCAATCAGCATTAGACATACTCAACAATTAATTCAAATATAGACTACTCAACGTGTATAAAAATTTAATTGAGATGGTATTAATTAATTTAAAATTAAAATTAGATGTTAAAATTTTTATATTATCTAATAATTAATCTTTTAATATATGAAAAAATACAGACTATTTAATCAACATTAAATACTCAACAGTTAACTCATCATTTGATGCCAAGTAATTAAGTTTTTTTTTTCAAAAATTAGTTGCACAATAATAAGTAAATTTTTTTTATTTCTTAATTTATCTTAAATGAATGTACTTATATTTAAAATCTCTTATTTTTTAAAAAATGATTACCAATGAGTTTTTTTTTTTTGAATTATTGTAAGTTATATAATAAAAGACAATATTTTCCTATCATTGAATTTATCTAACTCACGATTTCATATTCTCATAAAAAAAATTATTACTATATTATTTAAGTATTTTTTACATCAACAAGTTATTTTGATTAATTATTAGCTATGCTAGGTAAGTTTTATTTTTTATTTATTTATTTAAGTACTATATATTTTAGGTGGCATTAACATTTGAAAGTGTGTACATTTGTTGGGTTTTGTGGCCAGCGAAATATGAAGTGCTTGTAGACATCTGCTCAAGCTTTCCTAGTTCTCCACAAAAAGTCTAGTCGTTAAGCAGTCCTCCTTTTCTTTCTTTCCTCTTAAGCTACGTGACTCATGCTATGTAAGTATAAAACATCGAAAAAGTTATCGAGCACTCGACCTTCTTTTAATAGTTTATTTCCTTATTAAGTTAAAGAGAATCTCTATTGATGAAAATTTGCCGGTTACGGTATTTGTGTACTCAATTTAACACATTATTTTAACGTGATTGATAAGAAAAATGTTGGGAGACATCCTGGACTAGTAAAAACAGACAAGGAACATCAGGTCGTACTCAAGCACGAGTAAGAATAAGGATTCAAAATATAAAAAAAATATTATTTTAAATTTAAAAGACTAATTAATTAAATTTATAAATTTTTCCACATACAAGTCACTTTTTTTTTTTCTATCTAAATTTTATTTACAACTTCATCATTATTCACCATGTGAACATACTTCGCAGAAAAATCTATATCAATTAATGGGATTGAGCCTCAATAGACTATCGTTTACTAATGTGCCAAAGTTTTCTCAGGTTGTGATAGTTTTTTCCACCCACTTTTGGATTTTTTCTACATGCAAAGTTCACGGAATAATAAACGACCCCTACCGACACTTCGACTTATTGACATATCTCACTCCAATTTGTTTCATTTTTCCATTTGGATTGAAGCTTCCAGTTACCAATGTGCACGCCGATGTCATATTCAGAGAAAAGTTAGAGTAAAAAACAAAGGCAGCTGGAGCAAGGTCGTTGTTCTTAAATTATTTAGTTCTTTACCATCACATGGAGAATTATTCTAGCAAAAAATTGTTCACACATGAAGTTTTATTTTCTATGAATAATTTTTGTAAGTGAAATTAAAGAAATTTTTTTTTATTTTAAATTTTAATAAATTGTACAAATGGTAACCTTCTTCACCAATTGTCATATAGTTACAGGACAAAATTTGTAGTTATATGGCTAAAAACCATAGGTTATAGACCCCAAAAAAATTATATCTATACTAAAAACACTACAAGAATGTAGTTATAAAAGTGTTAATGTTTTAAACGTTAACCATGAAATATTGGTTCAAATATATCTTTTCTACATCAATA